CGGGGGAACAATGGAGAGGAGGGACAGGTGTGTGGGCTTCTTGGCGCGTCAGGCATTTGTGAGTTTTCTCTTCAGACTTCACAGAGAGCCGTCTGGTTGGATTGGACAGTTTCATTGTCATGACCTGCCCTATGGAGACAGCAGCCTTCCTCCTCCTCCATTTACAGGCTTGCTTCTTTATCAAGAGCTCAAGAGGATGGCCTCAGCACTACACGTAGGACAGCAAATTGCTCATGTGTTTTCTCTTCCTTTTCATTCCCTTTCTTCCCCACCTGCCTCTTCTCTCCCCCTGCCGCCCCCCAATCCTCCTGCCTTGTGGAGTGCCCAGTACCCAGGGGGCAAGGCTGCTTTTGCCTCCAGCTTCCGCTGCCATAAGCAGAAAGAGACTGGGGACTAAGGCTCAGGGCTTGGAGCAGCTGATGTTTGTCCAGCTGAAATACTGTTTGTAAGCAGGCTTCTTGCTGGAGAGCTGTGCTGGGGTGGGGCTTTGTGGCACTGGAATTCTCTCTTGCTCACGTGCTTCCCATTGGGCTCTGCGGCGTTAATCCCCATGTGGTGCAGCTCACTCGTGATTTTTTTAACCCAACTTTGGGCGCTTAACTGACTGTGGCTCCACACCCTGCATCCTGCTCCCCTCTGTCTCCAACCTCATTGCTCTCTTCTTCCCTGCTCCCATCTTCATTTCCCTCTCTCCCATTTCTCTGTCTGGTCCCCATCCAAAAATAAAATAAAATAAACCGGTGTTTAACTCAGCACATGAATGGTCCCACTGACCTCATGACTGAACCTGTAACTTGGCTCTCCCCAAGGTGGCAAGTTTGAAACCCCCCATGCTGGAGGGATTCTGGCTCCTTTGCCCATCAGAAGAGTGGAGGTTTTACAAGGGTGGAAAAGCATTGTGGGCACCAAGGACGGCTGGGGAAGAGGAAAAGGTGAGGAAAGATCTTTGGACTCCTCCCCCCAATTTCAGTTTCCAGGTCTGACCTCCTGCTTGTGTGTAAAATGGGACTGAATCATCCTAACCTACAAAACTGGGTTATCATGAGGCTCAGGCCCCTGGTGTCTCAAAGCATGCTGAGAGGCCTGCTGGTGAAGGGCAGACCTCACACTTAACACTCAGTGAAAAATCACACAAGACCTGCCTTCCTCATGCTGTTAATTCTTTCGTTGCTGCTGCTATATTTATTCGTTCTGATGCCTTTCACAACACACCCTCCCAAAGCTCTGGGTGCCTGTCCGACAATATTAAGTGATGAAACACAGTTGAGGATCAGTAGCTAGAAAGCAGACCCACCACTATCCCCCAGTTTAGGAGGTTTAAGAGATTCCCTGCTCCTTCCCTTCCTGCCTACGGAAAACAGGTGGGCATCTCAGCATGGCACGGGGCAAAGTTCAAAGGGTGCCGAGGCCTGTCAACCCTAATACCTCAGAAACCCAGAGACTGACTCCCCTACATTTAGCCCCTGCCTGTGGCACTTCTGCTGCTCAGCTCAGTAACAAGTTGGGGATAATACAGTCAGGCTTACATCTCAGGACTTCAATATTCAATTAATCAATAGAATATTCCATTAGTGCAATAATCAGTTGGCAGAGCCTGATCTATAGGAACATCTCAGCTGGGCCTCGCAAATTGATTTCTGATGAAGTTCTAATTGACTTCACAGTCAGACAAGGGCCTGTCTGAGCGCAGTGAAGTCCAGCTTGAGAAAGCTGCGGCAGCTCCGTCTCCCCTCGAGGTGAGGAGGGGGAAGGTGTGATTTACGCCCCATTTATCACAACAGTCTCTATCCAATGCTGCTTTATTGGTCCCAGGTGAGAGATGAAAGCTCACTGCTTTAATGCTGAATGTCTCAAGCAACCCGAGACACCCGTAAGCTTCAGGCAGCAGCTTGTCACTCCCGGAGCAGGTGCCCTATGGGCTCCTTAATCCTGACCCCTTTAATGTAGGTCTCAGCTAGGGAGCAGGCCTCAGGGGGGCTGGGATTTCATCAGCACACATGTGCGTGCACGTTGGACCATCATGCAGGTTTTCAGCAACACAGACACCCTTGTCCCTCCCTTGGCAGAGAGGCTGCGGAGTGTATCTACTTACTGCTACCGTGGCTCATGGCCTCGGGGCAGGCCCGGCCTTTGGGGAAGGCGAGCATGGTGGTCGCCTTGGGCCCCGTGCATTCAGGGCCCCACGGCTCAGCGCATTCAGGGCCCTGCACTGTCTAGCTCCTGGGCCCGCCTACCCGGCCGGGAGCCACATGCCCGTGTGGCTCAGTGTGCTGCCTTGGGCCCTGCAAGCTCTTTGCCAGGCCTGCCCGGGGGCTCCTGCAGCCTCAGCTGCTTGTGGACTTTCAGGTGAAGATGGGAGTAAAGGATGCTCATTTTATCCTTACTTAGCCAGGGACTGTCACCTTTCCTCTCTGAACTGCACTTCTGAAACAATTATTGTTACTAGTCTGCATGATAGTAATGCCTGATGAGGAATATGGAACGGCTGCCATATGAGGAGAGATTAACAAGACTGGGACTTTTCAGCTTGGAAAAGAGACAACTAAGGGAAGGCATGATAGAAGTCTATAAAATCATGACTGGTGTGGGAAATGTGAATAAATAAGGGTATGTCTACAGTACCCCGCTAGTTCGAACTAGCGGGGGTAATGTAGTCATCCGCAGTTGCAAATGAAGCCCGGGCTTTGAATTTCCCGGGCTTCATTTGCATGAAGCCGGCCGGCGCCATATTTAAATGCCGGCTAGTTCGGACCCCATGCC